GATTCTAAGAAATGTTCTTAACAGATAGTAATTTTGCCAAATTGCTTATAGAGAGGCTTCCAAGAAATCTGACAAAAATGTTTTGTAAGAGTCAGGGTTTTCCAACTAAAAGTCTTAAAATGATTAAGCTAACTATTATTTATATGGGTATGATAGCAAGTATGCAAGAATAGTCTTCTTAAAAAAATATTACCTCAATGAATTGTTCACCTATTTGAGTTTTGCATTTGAAAAGATATGTACTTTCTCTTTAAATGTCCTGCCCAGCCCCCTTAGTTTATAAAATAGGGTTCAAATCCTTCCTCGTTTGGGGGCAGCATTCTCTCCCAGCCCAATTTATCTCACAGGGTTATTGTTGTGGGGAAATTAAGCTCCAATGATTTAAGAAATTTATTACAAATCTAATGTATAATAATTTTTTGCATATTGCATTTTTATGCAGCACTCAAAGGAACAATAAAAATGCAGAATACATTTTTTTAAATTTCTAGAAAACATTTTTAGAAACATAAGGTAAAACCAATAAAGATCTCAAACATTTAAAGCATCTGGTGAAAGAAATGTGGTTTCGCTATTATTTTAAAGAAAGTGGATGCCAATGGCACTCCAGTTTCAAGAGGAATACCCTTTACAGTTCAAAGTGGCACAGGAGAAGGCCCTCCCCCACATGCCTTATTTATATGTCACATTTATATAGCTGCCCATCTCACACAAAGTGACTCTGGATTTGGACTCTGGCCCATCTCAATATTAGTAAAGTTATAGTTTAAGGGCATCATCAAATGGGCCTCTCCAGCATATCTTACTGGCAGAACAAGTTCTTAACAGTAAAGCAAAAGGCCTTAAGTTTTACACCAACACCTTAAATTGTGCCCAGCTAGCAACTGGCAAACAGTGCAGATCTTTCAACATAGGCAGCAATCTTCTTAAATTCTACTTCTTTTTCCTTTAACATCCACAAAACCATTAACCTGACTACATAACTGTGCAGCATGATGATCATATTCAATAATTATATCAGAAAGTAGTGACCAAGAGGATCAAATTGGGTGACCTGAAAGTTAAGTCTTTAGGGGTTGGGTGAAAAAATAAAATTAGAGTTATATCATTTTTAATTTATTTAGATCTATATCCCACCCATACTAACCATAGCACTAAGGCTGGCTTCCAAAAATTAAATCACAATTATGCTATTACAGTATTAAAATGTGATACCTTAAAATATTATTTAAAACATAAGGCATATTAAGAATATCTAAAACTAAGTTCAATTGGGCCACTCAAATGTCAAGGAATGGCAGGATAAACAAATCTCCAGCTAAAAATCTGGAGTGAAGGGGTTTAGTCTTCATTCTTTAACAGAATGCAAACTAATTTTCCCTAACCTAGTACCATCTGGACATGCTGGACTCCAAATCCCTTCAGCAGAGCAGAGTAGCACAGCAGAGTTAATGAGATTGCTGGCTGAAGGAAGTTCTAGCCCGAAGACATCTAGAGGATACCATGTTGCAGAAGAGCAATTTAGACCACTGTACTATACAATGATTTTACTTACTGGTTCACTTCCCTTTGCAAAACAAGTTTGGTTTCCAGGCCGTTCACTCTCCCAAGGCAGTTTCCCTTTCCCAGCACTTAACACACGCCGGGGACATACTCCTTGATCTGCAAAAGGGGTAAAAGACCCAGCAGTCTCTCCAGAGTAGCTGTGGGCACTCTGGATACGGTTGCCCTCCAGGAGCCAATCTGTGTCTGCTCCATGGGGCAAATGGAAGCCACGCCCATTTGCTAAAGACGGCAGGGGAACAGCATACTCCACAAACCACTGGTCCGTCAGCTTGGGAAGGGTTTTTCTCGCCAACCGGGCCTGTACAGCACTCATAACTCCTTCACAATTATCCTGAAGTTCAACAACGTCCACAGCCTTGAAGATGAGGCTGGTGCGACCGGGACCCAGGGCCGAGGCTAAGACAGCAAAAGCCTCTAGGGCGGCGTGACGAACCCGGCGTTTGCTGTCCGCCAGAGCAGGGGCAAGCGCAGCCACCAGCTTGGGGAGCTCGAAGTCCTCGCTAGGGAAGGTGAGGAGAGCAGCGATGGAAATGGCCAGGACAACCTCGCGGACGCGGGAATTGCGGTGCTGCAGGTGCTCGGGGCGCAGAAGAAGATCCAGCACGGGCTGAGGGCCGGCTGCCCGCATCAGACCCAGAAAGAGTTGATGGTACTCCTGGCGGATGGCCAGCTTAGCATCGCCTAGCACCTTAGCTGCGGCCGCCACCAACGGCTCCAAGCGGGACCTGCTCCCCGCGGCCGGGCCTAGGCGGACAGCCAGCAGGCGCAGCCCTTCCAGCGCACCCAGCGCCACCTTGAAGTTAGAGTCGTCCAGCAGCGCCCGCAGCAGGCTGAGCAGCCCAAGGAGGCTAGGCGGCGGCAAGCAGGCCAAGGCCGCTCCCGGCGCCTCGCCCAAAACCCGCTTTAGCTGCTCCATGGCGCCCACGCGGCCTCGGTAGTCGTGCTGGTCCAGCAGCCGCGCGTGCAGCTCCGATGGGACCAGCCCGAAGCGCAGCGTGGCTCCTGCTTGGGTCGGCGGCGGGATGCGGCCTGCGGGAAAAGCGGC